CACCAACCCCCATATTTGCTCACTGCATAACATACAGTTATGATCTTCAATCACTTCATCATCATTCGGAATCTATTCATCCAGTCACTTGCTCTTTCAGCTTGCTGGTGAGATGGATAAATGGGTGAGGGCGCGCGCGCACACACACACACACACACACACACATTCTATACTACCATTCAGCAGCTGAATAGAGAATTACAATTTGTGTCAAGTGCCATAACAGAGGTATATACAAAATGATACAGAGGAGAAGGGAGTGCCCGTTTACTTAGGGCAGTAGTCGGCAAACTGTGGCTTGGCAAACTGCAGCTCGCGAGCCACATGCGGCTCTTTGGCCCCATGAGTGTGGCTCTTCCACAAAATACCAACTTCTGCGCATGGGCCAGGAAGTTTCAATCGCACTGTATGTGCATGCCCCCACGTGCTATTTTGTGGAAGAGCCACACTCAAGGGGCAAAAGACCCGCATGTGGCTCGCGAGCCGCGGTTTGCCGACTACGGACCTAGGGTCTCAGTAGGTTTGCTGAGCTTGATCTTAAGGGAGAAGAAAACATTTCCTTGGCGGAGAAGGGGGCTCCCCATTCCAGGCACAGGGGCAGTGTGCACAGAGGCCCAGGTCTCTAAAGAGCACCATTCCACTTGGGGAATGGTGAGTGGTGGAGATGATGATAGTGAGTCGGCGAGAGGGGCATACTGGGATGGATTTTATGTAATAGGCCAAGGACTTCTGTAGATAATGAACACACGAGGAATTTTTATCAGAGTTATGACATTTTAGAAAAATCTTTCTGGTCTACTTTCCCCCCTGCTCTCTATAGGCATTAGAATGGTGGCTCTTAATCATTAGAATGGATTACCTGCTTTGGGGAGCTATTCTTAAAACGTCCTTCTTCCATTAGGAGCGAGAACAACTGTTCTATTGAGTACTGTTTGCTGAACTGAAATTTGACGCAGAAGGAAATTGCCTTCCCGCTGCCAGAGAATACCACTCCATGGCCCCAGAAACAGCAGTCAGCACCCCAGTCTCTCAAGGCCGCTTATGTAAACAGTGGAATTGTCGCTGACACTATTGATTTTGTTTTGAGCCTGCAGGAGGCTGCGTCCACAGGAGCCACGCAGATGCAGATGACTGCTTTCAGCCTGTGTTCTAAACAAGTTGTAAACATAGAGCCCTCTTTCCAAAAACACTTAAAATTGTTTTTGGAAGAGAAAATTGTCATACACTGCTTAATCCTTCTCCTCGCAGGGATATGCCAAAGCCTTGAACGGACTGGTGAAACTGGGTCTTATAAACAGAGACGCCTTTCCCGCGCTTCGACCCGAGGCCAAGCCTCTCACCTGGGTGAGTAATTCCGCAACGATACGCATTCTGACTGGTTAGGTTTGAACTTGGTTTGGGCCAGCTAAAGCCCATGGTGTGGCTTACCGCAGCGAGGTCAACCCTAGCCCAGAGGCCCCTTTCCGTGCACTGTTGTGGGAGGATGGAGGCAGGATGGAGAGAGCTTGGAGGCTGACTCCGGGCCTATTTCCTCAGTAACTTCTAGCACTTGGTGGCTCCCTCACTTCAGGAAGAGATGGACTTGTCCTCTGCACTGGGCTCTGGGCTCTGCCACTGGCCTATGTGGTGACCCAGTGGGAGGAGTTAAGTCTGGGCCTCCTGCCACTGCTAGCACCGGAGTGCTGCTGGCAGTGTCATAGAACTGCTTCCTAACCTGCGAATCCCAGCAGTTCTTTCATTCGGCCGTTTGTAACCAAGCGTAATTTGAATTTTCAGTTCCCGGGTTCACCCCACATCTGTGTTGTATTAAAATCAATTAAAATTGGAAGATTTCCCCCCAGGTGGCTCAGTTGGTTGGGTGTTGTCCCGTGCATGAAAAGGTTGCTGTTTTGATCCTGTGTCAGGGCACATGGTTTCAGGCTTGAACCCCTGTAGGGGTCATGCAGGAGGCAGCCAATCAATGGTTCTCTCTCACATCGATGTTCCTCTCTCTCTCCCTCTCCCTTTCACTCTCTAAAAAAATCAATTAAAAAATCTTTTTGAAAAATCCTAGAGGTTCAGTGTTGGAAGGGACTTTGGAGGCTTGGAACTAAATGTTAAGTAGAGCTTCCACTATCTGCTAGGAATTAACTTGTTACTAGCTGGTCATCCAACTTAATGTGCTCATATTCTAATAGAAATGCCAGAAATTTATCATAGGAGAAAAGGATCAATATTGCAAATCTTTATAAGTCTCCCCAAAGAAACTTTGGCATTCTTGTTGGTCAATTGCTTTTTAATTCAGTTATTTTGTGTGTCTGAGAGTCTTTCCAATTCAAGTCTTACCATCCACAAATGTACTGGTTGGACAGAAGTGAATAAGTATCTATAGGGTGAATATGGGGGTGAGGCAGTTGCATTGGGAAGGCTGGTACAGGTATTCTTAGAGCTGGTCCAAGTATCTTGGTAGCTACAGTCTCAAGTAAGGATGGACAAACATTTTTTTTAAAGACCAAATTAAAAATATATTTGACTTTATGGGCCAGCGATGGCTGTCAAACTACTCAATTCTGCCATAGACAATAGATCAACTCATGAGCAGGTTTTACTAGTAATAAAACTTTTTACTTGCAAAGCCAGGTGGTGAGCCACATTTGACCTGTGAACCAGTTTGATTTTCCTTAACCAGGGGTGGGGCCACTTGAATATTTATAATATCATTTGCGGGCCATCCAAAACTATCAAAAATTAGCCATTTGGTCAAACATTTAATTAACTCACCCCTTATGCCTTGGCAGGGCCAGACTGAATGATTTAGTGGGCCTTCTACGGCCCGAGGGCTGGACATTCCCCACCCCTGCAATCTAAAGCATAATTTTTCCCTTGAGAGACTGAAAAAACTCTTGTTTAGAAAGTAGAAAAAGTTATGACCATTGTTTAAGTTTTCTTCTTTGAGATTTTATTATCTGCAAGGTCTTTTTCATCTCTGGAACCTACAAAATAACTTTGGTTGCTACTAGCAACCAAAGCAATAAGCCACTTCATTCTGGCCAAAATGGATGGCTGGAGGGTGAGGGGGGAATGGGTGAAAAAGTGATGGAGAGGATATGCAAAGACAGGATGTGATGTCATTATGATACCATCTGTTTAGTATTGATTTAATGTTATGGCCCATTTTTTTTATTGCTGAAATATTCTGGAACACCGTGCATTTATTGATGTGTGGGTGTGCAGACACATGTGTATGCACATGTATGCATTACAGTTTACTATTTCTAATTTAATTTTAGGTGCATTTGAGGTCCAATGTCTTAACAAAATACTTTCTCAACTTGTTTATTCTATTAGGAACTTAGAGTTTTCATTTTTCTTTTCTAACCAGAAAGAGCTCCTGTGTGATCTAGTTGGGATTCCGCCCTCCTCCACGCAGGACGCGCTTAAGGAAGCTGTCTTGAAGAAGCTAGGGGGAGACAGCACCCAGCTGGAGGCTGCTGAACGGTAGGCACCCACGAGTCAATGCAGAGCTAACTATTGGATAGATGATCCCTTAATCCTTTTCCATCAAAGAAAGGTCAGAATAAAACCAAATGTTTTACATTGCCTTTGGCTAATTTGCTGCTCTAGTGTTGGCCTGTTCCAGTCAACGCAGAGCTAACTATTGGATATGTGATCCCTTAATCCTTTTCCATCAAAGAAAAGGTCAGAATAAAACCAAACGTTTTACATTGCCGTTGGCTAATTTGCTGCTCTAGTGTTGGCCTGTTTTAGAGAGATTAACATATACCATGTTCATGTGGGGGTGAGATGCAGATTGAGAGAGAAATTCAATGGCAATTATAACTTGGGAAATACTTATTTTGAGACACTTTACTACTCAGTACTCAAGACAGGTGGGATTTTTTTTTTTTCCTCTGGAGAATCACCCAGTCATTTTCCAACTGTTTTAAAACATTTGTTCACATAGTGATGGCACATTCTGCTGTCATCCTTAATGTGGGAGAACGAACCTGCGAGAGAATCTCATAAAAAGCTTTGCAATAGCGTGGATTTCCAATGTGTTAGTTCTGCTCCAGAGAATGCTGCCCGGGAGAGTCTGGGGATGATTCTAAAGGTTGCAACATGACTGTTGTTGTTATTATTTTACAATTTAGGAGAGTCCTATGACTTGGACTGTCATTTTGTGATTCTTCCCTTCAAGGTGAAATCCAAGGAGTGCTCCCTCTGCTTCCCAAGTGGGACTGTGCACAGGCCTTGTACTAACGCAGCCATCTCTTGTGCTCCTCAGGTTGGGCTTACTTGGGGATGAACAAGTCCCTCGGGCAGAGTCTGTTGTGGATGCACTTTCCAAGTATTTGGCCATGAAACTTTCCTACGGTAAGCCATTGGCCATTAGCTGAACATCTCAGAAGAAGAAACATGCGATGTAGTCAGTATAATCAGCAAATTATGTTAGGGGGCTGGAGCCAAGCAGTAGGAATGGGGTAGTATGATATGAGGGAACGAGCTCTTGACTTTTTTCAGAGGGAAAATTGAGAGAACTGTAAAGTAAGAATGAATTTGGGCCCAGCCAGTGTGGTTCAGTGGTTGAGCATCAACCTATGAACCAGGAGGTCACGGTTCTATTCCCAGTCAGAGCACTTGCCTGGGTTGTGGGCTCGAGCACCAGTGAGGGGCATGCAGGAGGCAGCTGATCAATCATTTCTCTCATTGTTGATATCCTTCCTTCCTTCCTTCCTTCCTTCCTTCCTTCCTTCCTTTTTCTTTCTTTCTTTTTCTAATGTTTTTATTGATTTCAGAGAGAGAAGGGAGAGGGAGGGAGAGAAACATCCATGATGAGAGAGAATCATCCATGAGCTGCCTCCTGTAGGCCCTCTACCAGAGACAGAGCCCACAGCCCCACCTGTGCCTTGAGATGGGATCAACCATGACCTTGTGGTTCATGGGTCAACGCTCAGCCACTAAGCCAAACCTGCTGGCTCTTTTTATTTTTTAATGGGGCTACTGGGAAATTTTAAATTACATACTTTGCTCACAGTCTATTTCTGTTGCACAGTGCTGCGCTATAGGTTAAAGAATTCCGGATTCAAGTCTCCAGCCTGCACCCCAGCTAGAGTTATAGATCCACACATAGTTCAGCTATCTAAGTGGTGCCTGTCTAATGATCATCTCTAATGCAGAACTCTTCATTTCCACACACACATCCTCACCCCAAACCTGTTTCTGCCCAATCTGACCCATCTCAGTGAATTACCTAAGCATCCTTCGTTGTTGATGTTTCTCTCTCTCTCCCTCTTCCTTCCTCTTTCTCTAAAATAAATACTTCTTTTTAATAAAAAGAATGAACTTGGGTAATATGTAAAAGGAAAATATTATTAGTTTTACTTGTAATTTTTAGCTCATTTGGAAAAACTGCAGGAGCATTTTTGAGAGAAAGTGGATGGCTGCTGTGGCAGAGCCCTCGTGCCTGTACCCGGCTGTAGTGATGGCAACCTGGATAGCAGACTGTGATTTGAGTCATCATTTCCTTGAGTTTTCCAATGGGTCTCTGAGCTACAAAGCAGTATGGCTAGTTGTCTAAGAACCATATCTAAGGGGAGGGAGACTTGTGAGAGAAAAGGGCAGCAGGAGGAGAGGAAATACAATATTTGGGTTGTAATGATGGTGGCATTTTATAATGCCTGCTTACTTACTTTAAGGTCCTGGAGAGAAAGATATGATTGTGATGAGAGACAGCTTTGGAATCAGACATCCTTCTGGGCATTTAGAAAATAAAACTATTGATCTTGTGGTTTATGGAGACATCAATGGCTTTTCAGCCATGGCTAAAACTGTGGGGTTCCCCACCGCGATGGCAGCCAAGATGTTGCTAGATGGTAAGTTCTTTCATCTCCTTATCCTCTTCAAGTCATTCGGTGCCTGGGCATCCAATAACTATTGTTGAGTATGACACTGCGTTCACTAAAAGTGAGCCATCTCAGAAGATCCAGGCGCGGGCTGACTGGGAGTGACTTGGTGGGAGTGACAAACATGGGCTTTGGAGTTAGCACCGCCTTCTCTCCCAGCTCAGTCATAGATGGCTGAGCGATGAGGTGCAAGTTACTCAGCATCTCTGAACCAGAGTTCCCTCATCTTCAAACTGGGGATCGTCATCGCTCATTCATAGGGTTGTTGTGATGCTAAAGTGAAATAATATGTAAAGCTCCTACCACATGGTGGGGCCTCCAATCAATGTGAACTCCCTTTCTTTCTTTCTTTCTTTCTTTTTTTTATATATATTTGGGAGGTTGTTAAATCTTTTGGGCGAAGGGCATTCACTTCCAGGTCTTCGAACATAGAGACCAGGGTTTTTTTTTTTAATTTTGTTTTTTGCTGTGAAGCACTTGCTTTATTGAGACCATGTTTTATTAATCTTCATGTCTCAGTATATTATGAGTACTCAATAAATATTTTGAACAGAATGAATTCAAATTTTAACTCTTCACTCTTCCCTGAAGATCCTGTATAAGTTCAAGTAAGCATTACCTCTAAACACAATGCCCCATTTGGCCCATGTGAAAGTGTGAGGAGAGTAGAAAACATCAAAGCATATCAATGTCAAATGATGAGAAGATGTATCTACAATAGCATCTCAGCTAATATCACGTTAAACCATGTACTTAGTTATTGCGGAACAAGGGTGATGACGTGATGAAGGATCAGGTAATAATGGCCTTTAAGGAATGTGTCCAGACTTACTGTTTCAGCAACAAACAGACACCCATGCCCAAATAACCAGGTGGGCTTTAATTCGTTCTGTTGAGTATTCTGCTTTTAAATAAAATGAAATCAGCAAATAAAGGGGTTAATGCAGTCAAGTGTATAAATTCTGACACTATCCCTAAGTCCAGTTGTGTTTTTAATCTAAAATTGATTAAATAATAATTTAGTAGGCGACATTTAAGCAGCTATTTTAAAAATGTTTAGGCCTCCAATAATTCATTGACTCTGACTTGACTGTTATATGGAGACCCTTGTTGCAGAAATTAGCATTTAATACCACCTTTAAAATGGTAACTACAAATTAATTTTCTTTCAGGTGAAATTCATGCTAAAGGCCTAATTGGACCCTTTTCAAAGGAGATCTATGGACCAATATTGGAGCGAATTAAAGCAGAAGGCATCATCTATACAACACAGAGCACAATCAAACCTTAATTGAGAATTATATTTTACTTTTATCTTCCCAAGCAATACAGCTCTGAACATTTGTGCAACAAACATGTTTGCTACAGTACTATTTTACATATATTTTGATTGTCATTACAATGATGTTTTTGAAATATAAATCTCTATTTTCTTATGCAAATATTTGGAACAGGATATGCCAGTAATTACCAGAGAACTTTAATAATTCTATCATGTATTTTTTCACATGTGTGTAAAAGTGATGATGATTGTATTATTTGTTAATTTATTGTGCAACTGTTTTCCTACAAGAATATATTTTCCTATATTCAGCAGACGAAGTTTCATCTTTTTAGATAGAAAATATTTCCTCAACATCACAGAAATGCAAAGGATCCTAAAAGACTACTACAATGATATGCCAACAAATTGAAAAACCTAGAAAAAATGGATAAATTTTTGGAAACATACACCTTTCAAGACTGAGTCATGAAGAAATAGAAAATCTGAGTAGACCAATTATAGGTAATAAAATTGAATCAGTAAATTAAAAACTTCCCCCAAAGTCCAGGATCTGATGACTTCCCAGGTGAATTCTACCAAACATTTAAGAAGCATTAACACTTATCTTTCTCAAATCATTCCAAGAAATTGGAGAGGAAGGAACACTTCCAAACTCATAGGAATAGATTGAGAGTCCAGAAATAACTCTCACATTCATGGTCAATAGATTATTGAAAAGGTTACTAAGACAATTTACTAGAGAAAAATAGTGTTTTTATATATTGGTGCTGGAACAACTGAATAGCTACATGCTTAGAAATGAAGTTGGACCCTTACCTCACAGCACATATAAAAATTAAGTCAAAGCGAACCAAGGGCCTAAATATAAGAGCAAACACAATAAAACTATTAGGAAAAATTATAGGCATAAATTTTCATGACCTTGGTTTTTTTATGGCAATAATTTCTTAAATAAATGAAACCAAAAGCACAAGAAACAAAAGGAAAAGAAAATTGGACATCATCAGAATAAAAAAACCTTTGTGCTTCCAAGGGTACCATTGAAAAAGCAAAATGACAATTCACAGAATGAAAGAAAATGTTTGCAAATCATATATCAGGTCAGGGAGGAACTTGTATTTAGAATACATAAAGAACTACTATAACCCAATAAAAAGACAAAGATCCCAAAGTAAAGAAATGGACAAAGGATCTGAATTGACAGTTCTCCAAAGATAAACAAAAGGCTATCAGCACATACAGAGATGCTCAACATCATTAGCTATCAGAGAAATGCAATCTGAATTGACAGTTCTCCAAAGAAGATAAACAAAAGGCTATCAGCACATACAAAGATGCTCAACATCATTAGCTATCAGAGAAATGCAAAGCAAACTTACAATGAAGCATCACTTCATACTCACCAAGATAGTTGTAATAAAAGCATGCTGGTGAGGATGTAGAGACATCGGAAGCCCTCATAAAGGCCTGATGGAAATGCAAAATGGTGCTGTTGCTTGGAAAACAGTTCAGCGCAAAGGCTAAACATAGTTACCCTATGGTCCAGCAATTCCACTCTAAGGTATATACACAAGAGAAATGAAAACGTACTATGTCCATGCCAACTTGTAAAGAAATGTTTGTAACAGCATTATCCATGATAGCCCAAAATGAAAACAATCCAAACGCCAGTCAACTAATAAATGCATAAACAAAAGGTGGTGTATTCATACAATGGGATATTTGACAATAAAAAAAATACATGAATTACTAATACAGGCTACAAGATGGATGGACCTTGAAAGTATTGTGCAAAGTGGAAGAAGCCAGACAGAAAAGGCCACATAGATGATTCCATTTATATAAAATGTCCAGATTAGTCAAATCTGTATGTAGAGAAACTAGATTAGAGGTTACTTAGAGCTGGAGAAGAGTGGAAGTGACTACTGATGAGTTGGGGGTTCCTTTTTGGGGTGATGAAAATATTGTACAGTTGATTGTGGTAATGGTAGACAATTCTGAATATCCTAAAAAAATCACTGACTTATATACTTTGAATATACATTGTATGAGATGTGAATTAGACCTCAAGTTGTTATAAAAGATATTCGATTACAAATAAAACATTTGTTGGCTCCTTGGGAAAAACATTATATATAACTAATAAAAATTTTATAATTAGTTATACAGATAAACTAAATACCTGTTTGACTTTCACTGACCGTGCTCATATCCTGGCATCTCAAACTAATTCCACCCTTGAAATAGCAGAGATTAGATGTGGAGTGTATGAAAGTCGAGCAAGCATCTGTGCTATTTGAAAGGATCAAAGTTGATTTAAGGCCTGGTCCTACCTGTCACAAATATGTACTATATGGAGAGCAATAATCTGTTAATAAGTAAAGACATTCTGTTATGGAAGTGTTTACCTCAGCATTGAGCTTAACATAATGAATTTGGAAATAGAACTTGGTTCCACCCCCAACCTTGAAGAGTGCCCTGACGGAATGGGAACCAGGGAGCTAGCACCTTGCGTGGGAGTGGGAACTTGTTGAGATCTCGATGTAATGAACTGCTTTGGGTCTTATGGTAACAGTGACAAAGGGGATGTGATCGCAGGGCTGGTTTAATGTCAGCGCTAGAAAAGGAAATGGCAGTAAGCGCCAGAAAAGACATTGGCTTTCGGTAACAAACTTTCCAACAGAAATTTCAATAATAAAGATGGTGGTGGTAGGATCTGGGGATGAATGGATAGCTTATAGTTAATAAGCATATGACTCTCTGAGGGTCAGGAAACTTATATGGTAAATAAATATTTTAGGCTTTGAAGGGTAAGGGGTGTCACAGCTGCTACGTTATTGCTGAAATATCATTCTGGAACACTGTGCTATTTTCTGCCTTTGTCGTGTGAGCGCAGCCATCGATGGCACCTACATGAGTGGACATGATTGGTACCATTAAAACTTTATGAAAACAGGTCATGGGCCGACTTGGCCCTTGAGCCATAGTTTGTGAACCCCTGGTCTAACCATGTTGGTAGGCTTAATGTCCTCATCTTCCAGATCTTTCTACCTTTTTGGCCTCTTCCAGATTCTATTTTCTATTGTCCATTTTTCCTTGTCCTAGAACCTTGAGATAATAGACCCTGGGCCTCTGAGAAGCACTGTGATGAGTTGTCCAATATGCTAGTTGTTTTCTTCTACATGAAATTAGGATAACAGAGACTCACAGGATGGTTATAAAGGTTAATGAGAGAATAAAAGCCTGTTACCTAGTAGATGTTCCAAAAGATTAGCATTCCCTCTTTAGCAATAACATTTTTGCCTGAAGTTTATGTTCAAGTTAATGAGATTTTAGCTTTGAGGTGTTTTTTTTTTTTTTAAATCTTTTGGATAACTTTGGAGGACTCCTCAAACATCTATGCTGCTTAAATGAACTATAGATGTATCTGCTCCACAACAAGAATCTTAAAGTGGTCATAGAGTAGAAAGGACCCAAATAATAATTTGGCCAGGCCTCTGATGTTGCAGAAGAGAAAATGTGCCTTACAAAGTTAAATGACTTGCAATTTCTTATTTATATCACATACTAGGGGCCCAGTGCACAAATTCATGCACCTTGGGAGAAACTGTGGGCCGCAAGGCCCCAGTGGGCACAGGGGCGGGTCTCGGCCCATCCTCTGCACGTTCACCCAGCCCCCTCCCTGCTGGCAGCCCCGCTCCCACTGCTGCCACTCGCACCTGCTGATGGCGCCAAGCGATCAGGACCGAAGCCGGTGCCAGCAGCGGGTCTGAGCAGCAGCTCTGGCACTGGCAGTGGGTGTGAGTGGGGCTGTCTCCGGCAGCGGGTGCGAGAAGCAGCTGCTGGCCCCGATCGTCCCTCAGGAGCAGGGGGAGATGGAGAAGCCTCTCGCACCCACCGATGGTGTGCTGTCAGCAGGTGGCAGAGGTGGCTGCGGCCCCAGCAGTGGGTGTGAGTGGAGCTGGCACCAGCAGCAGCTGTGAGCGCCGGGCGGGACTGTGGCACAGTGCGGAAACAAAGAATTTTCAGTAACCACCAGAGGCTCGCCCAGATGACAGCAACTGGTGCCCCTGCTCACCTGCTTCTCCATCCTGCTGCAGCCCATGCCCGCCATCTTCTGCACATGCCCCTTGGTGGTCAGTGCACATAGCGACTGGTTGTTCGGTTGTTCCATCGTTCGGTCTATTTGCATATTAGGGTTTTATATATATATATATATTTCTATGTGTTCCAGCTTGTTTTCTGGGGATTTTTCGTTTTCTTTCTGAGCATCCTTTTTACTGATAGTATTCATGGTTATTCATGGCATTTGCTGGTCTCCTTTGCCCTCGCATGCATGGATGTCTGTATTACTGGCCCTTTTCTAGCAGCTTTTTCTGAGGAGGTCTTTCTACTATTTTTAAGTAGATGTTGCTGAATCCCAAGATTTTTACCTCTGTTATCTCCCAGAGCTTACTGCCACAGCTTCTGTAAGACAGCACAGCCACACTGCTTGGGGGTGGGGTTTGTTTTGCCCTCACCATAATGGCAACTCCAGGCCTTCGTGGGGACCCTCCCCAAGGACCTGAACTGGGGGTCAATCACAGAGGGAAGCAGCACTTATACTGCAATAACTTTTGGTTTACAGATAATGTGCTCCTTTACTTGACACCAAGGGCAACGGGAGACGAGTTTGGGGAGTCCAAGGGGCAGCAGGGCTCTGTAGTTCCATTTTTTTGCCTGAAATTCCAACACCCAACAACAGACAGCCATGCACAGAACCTGTGCCCTGTCAGTCATCTGCTGGCTCACTGTTCACTCTCCTTGCCCTGCTGGACTGCCCTCTGCAACTTTCTGTTCCTTCATGTCTAAGGCAGTGCCTGCCATCTCCAGCTTCCTCCCCTCATCTATCTATTTATTCCCGGTTGTCCATCTTTAGATGCTTCAATTGGCGGGTCCCTCGGGCATGCCTCTGTATTGAGTAGGGAATTCTTTGTTGAATTAGAGTTGGTTAACTTGCTGAAATTTCAGTGGGAGAAGCCAAGGGGATCTCACGCTGCCATTCCTCTGACATCCTCTTGTTTTTCTTTTAGGAAATGATAACCTTAGAAAAACTTGTTCATTACAATTTAACGACAAGGATGTCTCGATTCTTTAAACTGGTGTAGTGTGTTTCATTTACATGCCTTAACAATTAATACTACCTACTCACATGCCAATATTGTGCCATTGAGGTTACCTCTAATGTACCAGAATATTTTATAATTTGCAAGTGAGTGAATAATATTAAATCATTTTAATTTTTATAACAAAAGCTTTTCTTTATTTTGACAAATGTGTAGATTTTCCTTCCCACTTTTTCTAAAAAGTTAATTTCAATTCAGTAAATGCTTAGTACATCTGATTCTGTGTGCTATTTGTGAGTGGGATTTAATTCTAAGAAAATATTTTAAAATGTTTCTGCTTTTAAAGAGATCTTATTTTCCATGTTTTGTATAGTAGATAACTGATATGAGTCTTTTTAAGTGCTAACAAATTAGGGGGATTCAGATCAGAAATATGAAAATTAAGTAAGATCCGTATGGTGTGATACTAAGTAGTATATACATGTATTAAATGTTTGGATTCATTTTATGTGAAGAAGCAGTTGCCATAAATTCTCAGGGAGTATAATACTGGAAGGATGGAATTTATGGTTCCGGTGCATTTAACTAAATAGCGGGATTATGTTCATTCTTAATACTTTCATGAGGGCACAGTTTCCAGTATCAAAGCAGGCTGGCTACCCGTGATTCCCTGTTTTGTTGCACTTGGGCTCCCCCCAGCTGGTAGGTCCTGTTGATTTACCCTCACCTAAGTTTCCAAACCAGCTTAGCTTGTCCCTGACTGGCAAATCTAACTCTCAGTTTGCTTCTCAACTAAAATTTCTCAACATTTCTTGGTATGTGGTGCCCTTAGCTTCCCGGTAACATTTTCCTAGCTCCACTAAGCCAAAAGATGTACGTAATGGTTCCCTTTATTACGTAATTAGGTCCACATAATTTCAGGTGAGTAGTTGTGCAGTGTCAGAACATGTTACTGTGTTGTCCTCAAACATGGGAAATTCTGTGAAGTCCCTGTGTGCCTCAGTGCAGTTTGGAACCACAGTTCCACCAGATCCACCTTTTTCACTTCCATCATCTCAGCAGGACCCTGCCCACCATTCGCAGTCACACAGGCTCTGGCACAACACTCCACAGGCAAATGCAAGTTGATGGCAA